TGAAATTGTCCGTAACCCGAGCTTTCCTTCATTATTTCACAAGACTATAACGTATAGAGCTCACCCATACCTATATATACTGTACACAATATATATATATCCTACACGGGTAGTTTTAACCAGCGACGCGCGCACACACACATCCATATATATATACACATACTTGTGTGCCAGTGGTGTCGTCGCATGTGGTATGCGGATCGAAGAGGCGGTGTGTGCGCGGCAACGTGAACGCGTGCCAAGGTCGCGAGTACGAACCACCCAGCGGTGAAAGCTCACCACCGCCGTTACTGCTAATCGTCATGCATTAATGCGTTAATCCCACCTCTTTGGGTTTGTATGTACTTAAAATTTTTTTTTTTTTTTTTCCAACCCTTTTCTCATTGTAAAAGGTACACCTATAGGTACATATATATGCGTGACTACAAGAGCGATCGGTAAATATATATAGATGTAAATACACCTCAGATACGAGAGTGTATATAGGTATATTTATATGTATATAGTTGAGGGGGATGAAAAAACGAGAGCCACGCCTCGAGAATTACCTATATATATACTTCCGCCCTTTACTCACCCTATACGCTGCCACAGCTTGTCACCTAATAGACTATTCCCATCCTCCGTTGTAAGTACACGTGAGTATTACTGGCGAGCTAGTGACTCCTATACATTTGTCCCGCCAGTTTATATATATATGTATTACCTACTTGCGCTACTTCCTCTCGACTGCTTCTCGTGCGTGCGCGCGTGTGCACTTACGTACGGGGGTACATGGGCTTATTGGAAACATATNTAATTAAAAAAAAAATATATATATATATATATTTTCTCTCGATGTCGCATGCAATGTATACTTGTAATGTATAAGAATGTAACATATTCAAAGCTTTTTATGCCTCGGCAACAACGGTCCCTATATTTTATACAGCCGAACGAGCGGCGTATTCATTAACAACAACAACAACAACAACAGCTCTCGATTAGTACATGGTTAAAGTAAGTAGGTGTATATTGTATGGATCGTTGTGACGATGCATCGAGGATCGGCAGCAGATGTAATATTATTTGCTGTGCCATATCACTTTGTTTCTTCTTTCCGGCTCCTCCCCTTTGGGCGCGTTTAATCGAAAGCCACTGCGGTCGGCGCCACCTCGAGCAGCATTTGAAGAAAAGCGTTCACCCTATCTGCAATCACACGAACAAGAAGACGAGTTAGAAATATGTATGTATGTATATGGCACTGAAGAAAGTAATATAACTTGATAGTTGTGACGAGTTTGAACGAACCCATGAACTTCGGTACGTATCCGTACTTGACGAAAGGCAGGTAAAACAGCATACCGGCGGCGATGAAGCCGGACGCGTACAAGTACTCGATCCGCGGCCTGTCGATGATGGGCGCGACGATGAGGTACACCGATATGACGAGCACGAGTATCGGTATGACGAGCGGGCACTTGTAGGGCCTGGGGTGGTTGGGCCGGGTGCGCCTCATGACGAGGAGGGCGACCATGGCGCCCCCGTAGAAGATCCAGGCGGTGAAGGAGAAGAAGTCGATGAGGGAGTCTATGCTGCCGGAGAGGACCATGGCGCTGGCGACGAGCGAGTGGAAGATCAGGCCCGGGGCTGGGGTGAAGCGCCGCACGTGCACGTAGCTCAGGCTGTCCATGAGGTGGCCCTCGCGCGACGCGGCGAAGCACAGCCGGCCGGCGGCGAATAGCGTCCCATTGGCCGAGCCGAAGGTGCTCACCGCCACGGAGAGGGGCATCAGCCAGGCCAGCATGCCGAGGATCCGGTTGCCGAAGGTCTGTTGGGACATTGGGCGTTATGAGGTTTGGCCCCCTTTTTTTTTTTTTTTTTTTTTTTTTTTAGAATTTCCAGTATACG